ACTTTCCACAAGTCTTTGTATGACAGCTAGTGGTATTTTCTTCCACTCGGCTTGGAGAAGACATAGAAGTTCCTTCACCGATTTTGCACGGGTGGTTCACCCCTGAATTCGGCAATGCAACTCGTCCCAGAGGTTCTCGATAGGGTTCAGGTCTGGACTGTGGGCAGGCCAGTCCATTCGATGAACTCCATTGGCACCATACCAAGCCTTAGTTAACGTCGAAACATGACAACTGCCATTGTCGTCCTGAAAGTAACAGGGGTCCAACTCATAAAACTGCCACAACGTAGGAAGCACATTGTCATCCAAAATAGTGCAGTAGGCATCGGAGTTGAGCTTACCATGAATGGGGACCAAGGGTCCCAGCCCATACCAGGAGAAACACCCCAGACCATAATTCCACCTCCGCCGAACTTGACTGTTGGCACAATGAATTCTGGAAGGAGACGTTCTCCAGGTAGATGCCAAGCCCAGACCCTGCCATCCGAACGGTAAAGGGTGAACCTTGATTCGTTACTCCAACGAACCCGTTTCCACTGATCTACGGTCCAATTTCGATGTGCTTTGCATCACATTAACCGAGCAGCGCGGTTGGACTTTGTGATCAAAGGCTTATGGGCAGCAGCACGACCATGAAATCCAAGCAGATGTGCTTCCTGACGGATGGTATTCATTGAAACAATACTCCCGGATGCCTGTTGAAACTCCTCGCGGATGAGGGCCATCGGTTGGGTGCGGTTCTTCCGAATTTCTCTGGACAGCCCTCGTCGGTCTCTATCTCCCAGTTTCGTTGGTCTGCCGACTCGGGGCACATTCCGACAATCACCGCTCACCTTCCACTTCTTAATCACATAGGCAACTGCCGATTTTGGGTACTTCAGATCGCTAGATATGTCTCTTAAGGATCGGCCACATTTGTATACCCGATAATTATACCTTTCTCGAAATCAGAGAGCTCCGAACTGCGAGGCATCTTGCATGCGACTAAAGCCGATGCTGTTTCCTACACGATATATATCGGCGGAGTCCGTGACGTACCTTAGGACCGCAGATATCGTCATTTGCATAGGTGTCCAAATACTTATTGGGAGTCATTGTATAATTGTGACCTAACTTAATTTGTCAGTTTGGCATTATCATTCTTACTTGAGTAAGAGACGAAGCACCTTCGCATTTATTAATTATTCTTCATTAAACGGGAGTTGCTTTATTCCCCTTGAAAGTTCAACTAATTTCCAATCAGTAGCGATAATTACTTGTTTTCAATTATTAATTTCTTTTTCAAAGTTTTAAATTTTGTTATTCATGATTTAAATTCAAGTCCCAGGAAAACGTTTTTTTCATAATTTACATCAAAGTTACTTTAAATTGCAATTTTCAGAATTAAACTTCCTTCATATGGGTTCCCTCTTTTTTTTTTTTACACTTCTACTAAATTTATATTAGGAGATAATATAAATATAATCTACATTTCTATAGTAAATAAATTATTATTATCTTACTTTGAAGCTATTGCGCAAGTATTAGAAAAATTTGTTTTCGAACTAAGTAAATTTTAGATCATTCAACATATATGTATACTTTAAAACACAATTTTCGGAATTAAACTTGCTACATATGGGTTCCCTCTTTTTTCATACTTCTACTAAATTTATATTAGGAGATAATATAATCTATATTTCTATAATAAATAAAGGATTATTATCTTACTTTGCAGCTATTGCGCAAGTATTAGAAAAACTTGTTTTCGAACTAAGTGAATTTTAGATCATTCAACATATATATATATATATATATCTTTCAAGAAAACTTTTACTTTCTCTTTAGAATCTACTCCTAACAGCATTTGCATGCTTCTTATAACAGTCAGTTTCCTCAGACCACCAAGGAACATCATTCCTCATACTTTTCTTCCTCGGAATTAATAATGAAGCACAATTAAAAATAATGGTAGGGAGACTATTTACAGCATTTTCTAATGCAATCCAATCAGTGTATATATCAAGAAGGATATTCAATTCACGCAGTTCCCTATTACAAAGTTCTAAAAATAAAAACCAGTTTGCTCTTTTTAAAATAAAAGTATTCAAATTATCAAATTCAAAAAATAATCATTTTATGGTCAGAAAGAGAATCTTCTTAAGAACATTCCTAAGCTACAAAGTGTAACGTCAATGTAGCCGGAGCCATGCGTGGAACTGAAAGTAGGTCCGAGATTTTTGTTAATTAGAAACAAATGATTCGCACTAATAAAACAGCCAAGTTTCTTTCCTCTAGCATTAGTAACAGGACTATGCAAACCGCTGATATGCTATTTGAATAAAAAATTGTATGGTTTCTTAATCATCAAAATTCGTGAAATTTTTAAGAGTTCTATATCAATGCTAGCTTGGGGCTCAAAATATGCAGAATAAATAGTCAAATCAGAATCATTAATTTTTGTATCCAAAACAGTATAATAAACAGCATGATTTAAGTTCAAAGAGGAGAAAGATTTTGATTACGAATAATAATAGCAGACTTGACAACTTCTGCTTCAAAATCGTAGTAAACTTTATATTTAATTGGAAAGCCAGGAAGAACACCTTTATAACAGTGCCGTTTCTGAATCAACGCAACATCAATGTCAATTGCCTACATATATAAAGTAAGTTGCTGAGTAGCCCATTTTGACATGCGCGATTTAATTTGTACAAAAGAAATAGGTGAATTGACGAACTTACCCATTATAAATTTTTGAAGCTCCAATATTCATCATAAAAGTTTGGCTGGGGCAAGTTCCAAAAAATGGCCCATTATTTGCATCGACATTCTTAACTGCATTTTTTTTAATTGAATCTTATGCAATTAACACACACCTACACTTCTTTTTTATCGCTTTCTGAACTCGTATGCTCACCAACAATAACAAGCCTATTAATGTTTGCAATCACGACTTCAGTGATAGCCTAAACATTTAAAATACCTATTTAAAACAACAAAATCTTCAACTTTATACAGATTCCAGTATCAGTTTATACAGATTCCAGTATACAGTATCAGTTTAATACACCCAAAATTTAATACACACTTACGCACAGCGGGATGCACTGAATAACTACACGTTTCTCAAGTTGAAACTTTTTTAAAGTAAAGCGAACTTTAATATCTTTCCAGTATGCTTCAGACAAATTAATTTCAGAATTCTGTTCTTCAAAAATTTCCGAGATTTCGTTATCAATAATGTTATTTGGCACATATTTAAGTAAGTGTGTAGTATATTTTCGCTTTGGAATACAGAGATTCAAAATAGTTGCGTCTTCTTGTAAAGCAAAATCAATTCTTTTTTCGGCTTTAAGAAGCTTTTTAACTTCATGAGATATAAAGTTTTCTGCACTCACAATTATACAGCAATCTGAATCAATTTGGTTTGGCACCACAGTGTTAGCATAAGATTTCGGTTGCCTGACAGAATTCAATAAGCTTTCTTTACAAGCTTCGCGGAAATTTATAGATTTGACATGCTCAGCATACCTTGTAATCAAACTTTTAATCTCACTCAAGCTTTCTTGACATCATCACGAATCTGTTGATTTATGTTGCATTTGGAAATGATGACTGAGTCTACATTTCGAAATTCATTGTCCAGAGCTGCGTAGAACTTGTGACCATCACAATCCGCCATGTTGGCCTTCCATGATTTAAATGAATTTATATTTAAATCAATCACACTAAAAAGTATAAAAAATATTTTTAAGAAGTGTTCTTGTTTTTCAGTCACTTTGCTTCTTAATAATAGAAAAATTAAATTTGAAAGTTAAATACCTTACGCTTTACTAAATTGCAACTCGCTGATGCTTGGAGGTAAGAAGTATGGTGATTAATACATTGCTTTCAAGCAGCCTAATTTTTGGATTAAAATTGAAAGGTAAATCCCATACATTGTAGGGTTTTCCTTATTTTGTATAACAAATTTATATTAAGTTTGATTACCTGTTCTAAACTTCTGAACTTCCCCTCACATTCTGTCGCCAGGATGTAAATTTAAAGTTAAGTGAAGTGCTATTTAAACGTGTGAATAAATCAGTTTGTTCAGAGTGTGTTTCGCTATCCAAGCGCACGTTTCATTGTTATTTCGCGGTCAGGCTTAGTAAGCCTCTTGGACTTACCAGATTAGTATCACGCCAGTTAGATTCATATGAGTCCACCAGAATTCGCCAGGTTCATTCTAGGATCTAATTTAGTTAATGTGGAATAACAGAGATGGATCTTACAACATTTTTCCGAATGCAATAGTTTGGAGAGCTAGGAATAAAAATGCTTTATTTAGAACAGTGTTGCCACTTCATGTTTTTAAATCGCTGAATTTGTTAAATAAAAATCTTTAAATATGTATAAAATGCGAAATAAATCAAAAACAAATCTGAAATTCAAATTCTGGTTTCGATTTGCTCATATTCATGTGGAGGACTACGTGTATTCAAAATTCGGTGATCGTTTTTTCACAGTGTACGGAACATACTACATACAGATTCTTCATTATTTAATTTTTTTAAGTAATGCATCACTATAACATTTGGTGGCAACAATTTGAAAATGATTCCGGCAAAAAAAGTGATACAGAAAAAACTGTGTTTTGAGACTAGTAGCACCTGCGGTGCTTTTAATAACTTAAATTTGTGTAGATATGAAGCTAAGAAATGCATACTTAAACTTCGGGACGATTTATTTCGAGAAATAATACTTTAATAAAAAATAATTTTTATTCATCATTTTGTGCATTAGATCTAATCTCTTCAATTTGTATATAAATTGCCAAAAACGTTTTCCCTCCCCCCTGTTTTTCTTTCCTCTGAAATACTATGTTGTTTCAATCGGTGAAATTGATTTTTATCCTTTTATTTAAAAAATTCTAGAATGCTGAAAAATAAGTACTTAAAGTACTGGACTTCTTCTTATACTTTCAGAACGTATTCTTTCTAGAACAGGTAAATTGTGTTAAGCAATATATCTATACTTACCTTAGAAAAATCCACTCGTGCATTATATTGAAGTAAAATCCTGATAACATTACAGAAACCTCTTTCAGCACACAAATGCATGGGGGTGTACCCCACATCATCCATGACGGATGGATTTGCTCCTCTAACGAGTAATACTTTCACTGCTTCAACATGCCGGTGAAATACTGCGTAGTGAAGAAGTCTTAAACCATTCGCGACTGGTGCATTAATATCTTGACCACTCGCAAGAAGTAACCGAATATCGTCGATTGAGCAATAATTGATTATACAATCAGCTATTTCTCGAAGAACTGATTTCTTCCCCTCAGGAACTGGAGTCCGGATTTGCGTTTCGTCCGCTGAAAATAAAACAGTTAATAAAATTAAAAATATGTTGTAATTTATATATCCATCTTCATTATATCTCACAATATGTATGTATTATAAACATAAGCATATAGTAATATATGTAACTATTTAAGTTTGCTTACATACACCAAAGAAGGTATTTAGTAATGTGAGCTTCCCTCTTCCAAAGGGCTTACACATTTTTGCAATTTATAATAACAAAAATAGGAAAAACGAAAATAAAGCGGGTATAATGTAATTTTTTTAACTGTCTTATTGAAGCTTTATATGTGTTATACCAGTTATATATTATAATTTATATTTCGCTTTTATAATTTTTCGTATACATGACTATGTGTATATAAATATATTATATAAAAATATGCAAAGCAAAATTCTAATTTTAATTTGGAATAATCCTTAACCCTTTCCTTTAATTTGGATATTGTCCCTTTCTATCCTAGTAACTGCTTATAATAAATTTCTCTAAATTGCGTTATTTCCAAGTTAATTCATGTCATATGATCTTACATAACTCTGCTATTTCAAGCATTTACGTAAATGTTTCAGCGAATAAGATTTCAATCGGAACCGAAACTTTTTATTAATAACCAATCCGTATGAAGCAAACCGGAACTCATAACTGTTCTCCTTTCCCAGCCTTTCTTTCTGAATGTGTCACATTCCTGCTTTGCTTTCTGTCCAGTTAATGTGTCGCCGTTCAACGTTTTATACCACAATAAAAATATTATAATCGCATTATAAAAAGGTACAAATGGGATAAAGAATGGGTGCAGATTTCGGCTATTATGATGTGTGAGTTATAAAATACGAGTATGTTAAATCATCACGACGCTTACATTTGACTGAAAATATATAGTCACGCATTCTGCACGCCATCATCATCATCTACAATATTGGCCATGAGTGAAAATATATATGTCTTCTCATCCAAATCATCACACACACAGATGTATGTGTGTGTAAAATATAACATATGAAAGAAAGTTACTGACATACTTAGCGCTTTTAAATCCTGATTTTATTTGGCTACGTTCCCCTTCACTGAACCTGTACTGCGCATCTTACGTCATTATTTTATCTGCAGTGACCTGCAATGCGAAATTTCCTGTCCAATCGCTGTTCGGATTTCAAACAAAGGATTCCGATCTTATTTGTAGGTCCAGCTGAAGTGTCTATTCACTTTTTTCTGCTCTTCTTGCTTGGCTAACTTGCATCTCTCTGCTGTCCATTGTTTCAAAATACCATAAATGTATATAGAATTGTGGGGTGCTTGTCGCACCCATAGTGATGTGAAAAAGAGAAAATATTTCCTTAAGAATTATATTTCAAGGAAATAAAATTATATGTCCTGTTATCTACAAAATATTCAACGTCTGCAAGTTTCTTCTTCTATCACGCATTCTACGAGGGCTATCCAGAAAGTAGATTACGTTTTGGAATAAAAAAATAAACAAAGTATAGGAAACAAATTTTATTATATACAGATGAAAGCCACACTCAAATACTACTTTTCTACATAGTCACCATACAAATTAAGGCATTTATCGTAGCGATGTACGAGCTTGGAAATTCCTTCGTCGAAAAATTCGGCCGCCTGCGCCTTCAACCACTTCGTTACCTCTTCTTGCAGCTGTGCGTCGTCATCAAAACGCTGCATAGCCAGCACTTCTTCATTGCTGGGGAATAGGTGGAAGTCGCTCGGTGCCAGGTCGGGACTGTACGGCGGATGAGGAAAGGAAGGAAACAACTCCCACTTAAAAGATTCAAGAACTTTACGAGTGACATTTGCCGTGTGGGGCCGGGCGTTGTCGTGAATCAACAAGATCTTAGAGCTCAACATTAGTCTGCGCTTGTTTTGAATTGCTCTTCTGAGATTTTGGAGAGAGAGTTTGGCAATACCTTTGAGAGTTTATTGTAGTGCCTCTTTCCAGGAAGTCCACCAAAATTACACCTTTTCTGTCCCAAAAAACAGTCGCCATCATCTTCCTTGCCGACATTGTTTGCATGCATTTCTTGGGTTTTTGGGGAGAACTTGTGTGCCCCCACTGCATTGATTGCAATTTCGTTTCACAGTTCACATGTTTCACCCATGTTTCGTCACCAGTAACGATGCGATCGAGTAAAGAGTCACCATCCTTATGGTAAGCGTCCAAAAAGTTCAACGCTGCAGCCATTCGCTGATTTTTGTGGTCCTCTGTCAAGATTTTTGGAATCCATCTTGCACAAAACTTGTGGTAACCAAGCTTTTCGCTGATGATTTTCGTGCAAACAAACTTCGCGAAATTTGGTGGAAAAACTCAAAGAAAGTTCCGTTATTGTGAAATTTCGATTTTCACGGACTTTAGCATCGACTTTTTCGAGAAGTTCGGCGGTCACTATGCTGGGTCTCCCACTTCGATCTTCGTCGTGAACATTGGTTCGCGGCCATTTTGAAATCTTATGACCCACTGACGCACTCCACCTTCAGTGATAATGTTGTCCCCATACACTTCACGAAGCTGCCGATAGATTTCTATCGGTTTACAGTTTTTTGCAGTCAGAAAACCTTATTACTGAGCGCACCTCGCAGCTCGCGGGATTTTCAATTAACGCAGACATTTCAAACCGTCACAGTATCTGAACGGAGCACAGCACGAACCTCTCACTAGCACGGCTAGATGCAGACTGAGCTGCGCAACGCTCTGACCCCAAGATGGCCGCGCTAGCCCCGCCCCTAGCGGACACAAACGGAAACGTAATCTACTTCCTGGATGGCCCTCGTATTTGCGTGCGTATCCTATTCTATCTATCACCATCCCAGTCACAACTTCAAAATAATTGGTGCGTTTTCTAGTCAGTATCCCATCCAACAACAAAATTATAGCAGATGAATTTGGGACAACTGAGTAGAGAAGGCACTAATTACTTTGCAGTCGTGTGGGGAAGGGTGACAGATGCAGCTTGCACACAAATGGGATGAGTGATAGAAAAATAGATGTGTAAAATAAATGTGAAAAATAGATGTGTAAAAAATAGTGCTGTGATTTCTTCACACCACTATGGGTGGGACAAGTACCCTACAATGCTATATACATTTATAGCATTTCGAAACAATTTACAGCGGAGCAGCGAAATACAAGTTAGCCAAGCAAGAATTGTAGAAACAATTACATGCACACTTCAACAGGTCCTATAAATAAGATCTGAATCCTTTGTTTGAATTCTGAACAGCAATTGGATAGGAGCTTTCGCATTCCACATCATTGCAGATGAAATAATGACGTAAGTGGACGTAAGTATAGATTCTTTGAAGGGGACATAGCTGAAATAAAATTAAAAATTAAAAGGGCTATTGCCAATTAAGTTAAGTAATAAGTTGATTATATTAACAATTTTCTGTCATATTTTATATCTTATACTTACATATTATTATTTCATTATTTCCATACTGAAATTTTTGTGTGGATATTTAGAATCCCAAGTAGCACAGCAACGTCGTAACGACGTTGCAAACTCGTCGCGGATGTCGTTGCAAAAACGTTGCAATATGTCGTCTTTAAGACGCCCAGATGTCCGCGAAGCTCAACTGTTTTGCAACCGTTGCTTAGACGTCTTTATTGCATGATGAGGTTTTTGTCGCATAGAAGTCGTTATTGCATCTTTCGCAGGTGACATTTTGGTTGTGAAAGCATCGTATCACAACGTCTTAACGACGCCTAAGTGTTCACAAAATTCCACCTTTTCGCAACAGTTGTGAAAATGTCGTTACTATGTCCTTGTGTTATATATTGATTTATACAGAAAAATAAGTTTAATAATTAATGTATTTTTCTTCTTTTTTTAAATTTTGTATTCCTTGTATTTATCGAAAGTTTAAATATTTTATCATTTCCTGAAAACCAGAAGATAATACAATTTTTTCTCTTTAGACTAAATATGCATAATTAACAATAGCGTTAATTATTTTCAGTACTATAAACTATACTTTTTAAATAACTTAATTTCTAAATTACAATTATTTAAGATTTCATCATTTTTTTTTCTCTTAAGTGAAAATAACTATGAAAGTGTTTATTATAAATATATAACATTAATAGTAGGTTTTGGGTAAATAAAACTCAATTAGACATAAATAAAAGTAAAGATATATATGTAGGTAAAAAAAGAGTTTTTCTGATAACAGCATTATCACATTTATTTCTGTTAAATCTCAGAGACATAAAAATTGCCCCTGTCATGATAAATAGGGAGTGGTTCTTAAGGTAACATAATCAGTATTTTATATGAACTCAAGTATAAATTTATTCGCCTTTCACAGTAAAAAATATAACCATTAACTTCTATATCTCCAAGTTTCCAAGACAGTATAAAGTAGTTAATAAATGTGATCCAGCGCCGGATCTTTGATTTTTCTGATGTGGGGCAAAAGCTAAAACTGCCGCCCTCACCCATCATCCTTTAAGTTTCTCTAAACAAGTTTTAATTTGTTTAATAAATGAAGAAATAGGTAGGTTTTGAAGTGAAAAACCTAAGCTCCATTTTATACTAAATTCCTTATGTGCTTTACATTTTTTTTTTTTTTTTTTTTTTTTGTTTTGTTTTGTTATAAAGGAAAAATACGTACCAAAGTGTTAAATAATTAGAAAATCATCCCCTCCTCGGAGAACCGTTTTTCTGGACTTTCGCGGACTTTCTGGTGAGCTTATTTTGTGATTCAGTCCTAATCCTAACTTCTAATTATGAAAGTGCTTCTAACTCCTCCAGTCCTCGAAAACCATTCGTTTTTCCACTCTAGGGGGAACGGGCATCTCCTAAGCTTCTCACTATTCCGTGTATTGCATACTGGTTAAAATACGTAAGGTTAGATTATATGAATATGGCAAAGGCAGGAGGGCTATCTGCGTAGAGGAGAGGTGCTTTCGTGGAGGAACCTTTTAAAGAAAACTGGCGCGTATTCACGTTACACATGAGAAAATCCACGAAAACAAACCACGCAGCCAACCCGTTC